GAAATCAAATTAAAGTGAGACCTAAGGACCTTTGTTTTTTTTGTCTTTGTTAATAATCCTAACTCTAGATTTTAAAAAAATTCACCACCAACATTTTCATTGAGACGTAAAGTTCTAATAGTAAATTTCATTTTAGTTCCCCGATACTATTTAAGATCACGGGATTATTATAATTTGTCGCTTTTTTTTTAATGAGCTAATCAAGTTTATAGGCACATGTTATTTTGAGAACATTAACCAAATTCAAATTAACAAAGTTTTATTTTTGCATAAGGTTTTATAAGGAATTTTACTACGTATCAGGTATGTACGTACGTACCTACATAATTTACTAGTTACGTATTTCCAAAACCTGATCTAAACATTAACGTTTAACCCTAAACCATAAAAGAATAATTTTTCCAGTTACACGAGTATGAAATTCTGCGGGCGATCCTGTGTAAAAATAAGCATTGAGAAAATTTTCCAATAAAAATTCCGTTCAATGATTGTCAGTAATAAGATCGACTTGTCCGTGCATAAAAAAAAAACCATCTACCGTACTCTTATTTTTGTTCGATTTTTAGAAGACACATTCTATTAAAAACTTAATAAACCATTATATAAATAAGCTGAAAATTTCTTTTATAATGATAATCTTACCAAATGAATGTCTTTTCGAAATATTCACCTACCTTAAGAGTTGGAATTTATTTTCATGCCTTCTTGTTAACCGTCAATGGTGCAGAATTGGTGTACGATTATTGTGGAGAGAAGTGAACTTGTTTAGAAGTAAAAAACTTGTAAGAACATGCTTATTAATGTTAAGCACAGAAGAGCAAACATTATTACAAAACTTAATGCCATTCAAGTGCAACCTAACCTTTCCAAATAATTCAAAAACATTATTTGATTATACTGCTTATACAATGGTTATTAAGGTTGATTCAGATAACGGAATTATGAAATGGTTTGAACATAATTCCAAATCTTTTAATTATTATTTACAGTTAAATGCTGCTAAAAAAATTCGATATTTCTTAACAAAAATGTTTCTACGAACAAGTAAGAAACTTAAAGATTTAAGTATTCATTGTGAAATAGTAAGTTTATTGTTATCCAAAATTTTTGAAGAATGCACTTTGACTTCCTTAACACTTTCACATAACGAACTGGGTACCGAAGGAGGAAAAGTACTCGCAGAAGCCCTTCATAATAATACCACTTTAACCCACCTATATATTTGGGGTAACAAGCTTGATTCCGAAGTGGGAAAAGCAATAGCAGCAGCTATTTGTGTGAACACTACTCTTATCTATTTAAATATTATGGATAATCAACTTTTTTCGGAAGGTGGAAAAGCACTAGCAGAGGCTCTTTATCAAAACAGAATTTTAACCTCTTTGAATATTAGTGAAAATCATCTTGGTTCCGAAGTAGGAAAAGTATTCGCAGAGGTCCTTTGTAAGAACACTACCTTAACTTACTTGAATCTTAGTAAAAATCGACTTGGCACTGAAGGGGGGAAAGTACTAGCAGAGGCGCTTCATATAAACACCACTTTAATCTCACTTAATCTCGGTGACAATCAACTTGATTCTGAAGTAGGAAAAGAATTATCTAAGGCTCTTTATAAGAATACTACTCTAACATCTTTAGAGCTTTGTAAAAATGATATTGATAACACTATCTTGGATACAATTAATAATTTGCTTAGAAAAAATAGAGAAGATTTTTGAATTCGAAAATCATGTTTATATTGCAATGTAGTTAAATTTGATTGTTATAATTATGATTCATATATTGGATATATTATAGATATTCGAAGTAAATGTATATGTACAAATTATGAATATATTTAGTATAGTATGCCAAACATTTTATTCTGGCTAATTAATAAAATTGTTTTAGTTCGATAAAATTTTTATTAATTAATTTGATTTTGAATTAAATATTACACTGTACTAGAAAAAAATTCGCTTTCTAAATCCAGAATTTAGAGAATTCATCTCCAGTGCTACCAATAAAGTGTAGTGTGAAAATATAAGCGACTGTAAAATTTTTTTAAAAAAACGCTCCTAACTCAGAATTTTGTCCAGAAAACCGCTCTCTTCATATTAATAGAAAAGATTTCTTGTGAAATTTTTGGTTTAGGAAATCTTTTTAATCGTTATTTTGCCCAAGTGTTCTGCACGGATCGGATAGGATGTATATTTTAAATATCCGTATCCAATCTGAAATCCAAGTTTTGGATCCGAAACCGTGCCAAATAGATTCGGACTCGACCCGGATACGTTTCTTTCCCTCTCTCACGTACATTCAGTTAGAGCTCATACCGACCCGAATACATAGAAGATTCTTTACTGCGCTCACAATTCAAATATGAAAAGAAAGTATCTTGATATGCATAATCATGAAGGTGACTGGATCATGAAAGTTCAAGATCCTGAAAAGTCAATATCTCGATATTTCAAAATTCTAAATAATCAAAATCTCGACAGTTTAAGATCAGGAGTCAACATTTCGACGATTTATTATGGAATGTAGAAAAAGTATCAACCCTAAACTTTCTATAATAATATTGTATTATGAAAATTTCAATTTATCAAAAACAATACTAAAATACAATGATATGTAATTTCTTTATTATTTGTCTTTTTCTTAGTCCAACACCTTTTGTTCACAATGATGTGTTTGTTCTTATATAATTACCATGATATATCATTCGGTCAGTTATAGAAAATACAGAATCAAATTCTTCAATTTTGAATATTATTCTACCAAATAGAATTCAATCGTACATTCAACCCAGTGGGCTGTAAGTTGAAATCCTTTCTTGGAATCGTCAATATCTTTACCTATACTTGTCCATCCTTAAATTGTTATGTTAGATCTATGTTTGGCATTATACTTCGCTCGTGTTATCTTCATTGTGACATGTATATTTTTCATATTTCGATTTTCTTTAAATCCTCTATTAGATTATATTTTCATATTAGTTATTCTTTGACTCTTGAATTTGAATGTGAACAAAATAATAAATATTTATATAAGTCTGAATGCCTTATTTGAGTACTTACGATCTCAATTAAATAGTAAATACTGTATTCAATAATTGAATATCTTATTTTGAATGTTCCTTATACGTAGTTATAATATAAAAATAAAGCTAGATAGTAAACCTTCGTGGACTTGATCAACTTATTTTGAATATCTATAATATTAAATGCTCTTATACTTACGCACTATATACTAACGTGAATTAAATAATAAATGTTCATGGATTTAACTTCCCTATACTGTACTCACACATTAAATTAATAAAATAATATTGAGTAATATAGTTTGAATAAAAATATTAGAAACTAATCCCAATAAAATGTTGTTATACTTACATCCTAAATAGTTCATAAGAATTTTTAGAATATGGAATCATGAAAAATTAATAAATTACTTTTTTAAAATCTAAACTTTAAGTTCATCATTAGTTTTCATATGAATTCCGTATTTGTAACAAGTGGCGATTTTAAAAATTCAAATAGTATACGTATAAATGCTTTATACTTAATTATTTCAACCTCAATTCTTAAATAATACAAATTTGATGTTATATGCTCTATCAAATCTGCAGACATTGTAACATATTGTCTTGGCACTTATTAAATATTCTTTCCAAAATTAAGCCTTTCTCGGTTTTACACAAATAATTATTAACCTACAAATCTATGGAGAAATATTAGCGTGAAGGGATTTGCAAAATTCATTATTACGTAATTTAAATCCATTATTAATTTAAATCCTTCAAGTTGACGTAAATCAACAGATCGCAAAGCTGGCTAAGCAAGGACATGCCTGCTAACTTCCAAAATCAGACAACCAGTCGAGACCGGTTCAGCGGTCATCAGGATGAAGCGGGAATAAACCAAGATCGCATAAGATAACACATGCGCAGATAAGAATCATTAAATAAATTGCTCTATTTGGAATTATTAATAGTTACTAACGGTAATACGTATTATATCAGGATACAATAGAACCCGTACACGGTCATATAATTTGCAATTGCGAAAGCAAGTTCGTACCTGGACCCACCCGCCCAAGGGAGTCCTGCCATTTTGGCGTTCCTTTAGTAATTGCTATTTCCAGGAGCATAACCAATCTCAGCTTGTGCATCAATCGCACCGATGCTGCATATTATCAATAAAATTCGATTAATAAAGTTCAATGTCTTGTTCTAGCGGTCAAATGATTTTCAATTATTAATTTAACACAGCGAACCGATAAAATTGTGAAACATTGATTTGCCAAATTTGGATTCCTTAAAGCGAGGAAGATTATGTAATAATCACCCAATCAAATTGTTAAAATTTGATAAACCCAGATCAGCACGACGAAGCAAAACAATCAATAAAAAAAGAAAATACGAAAAATACCGAAAACAATAGTCCAGACTAATGATGCCTGACGAAACTATTTGGCGCTGACGAAATGGTTTCGTCAATGGTTTCGTCTGACGAAACTTGACGATATGACGTAACTACTGACGATTGACGTAACTACTGACGATTGACGTAACTACTGACGATTGACGAAACTCTTGACGAAATTAATTTGACCAATAAAATATAAAAATGCGGGGACCATCTTTCAGCAAGCTCCTTTATTACGTCCTCTTGATATTCTGAATCATAAAATTTTCAAAATTACTGTTATTTCATCAAAAGTTTCGTCGGTCCTTTCTTCGTCGTGCTGATCTGGGTTTATCAAATTTTAACAATTTGATTGGGTGATTATTACATAATCTTCCTCGCTTTAAGGAATCCAAATTTGGCAAATCAATGTTTCACAATTTTATCGGTTCGCTGTGTTAAATTAATAATTGAAAATCATTTGACCGCTAGAACAAGACATTGAACTTTATTAATCGAATTTTATTGATAATATGCAGCATCGGTGCGATTGATGCACAAGCTGAGATTGGTTATGCTCCTGGAAATAGCAATTACTAAAGGAACGCCAAAATGGCAGGACTCCCTTGGGCGGGTGGGTCCAGGTACGAACTTGCTTTCGCAATTGCAAATTATATGACCGTGTACGGGTTCTATTGTATCCTGATATAATACGTATTACCGTTAGTAACTATTAATAATTCCAAATAGAGCAATTTATTTAATGATTCTTATCTGCGCATGTGTTATCTTATGCGATCTTGGTTTATTCCCGCTTCATCCTGATGACCGCTGAACCGGTCTCGACTGGTTGTCTGATTTTGGAAGTTAGCAGGCATGTCCTTGCTTAGCCAGCTTTGCGATCTGTTGATTTACGTCAACTTGAAGGATTTAAATTAATAATGGATTTAAATTACGTAATAATGAATTTTGCAAATCCCTTCACGCTAATATTTCTCCATAGATTTGTAGGTTAATAATTATTTGTGTAAAACCGAGAAAGGCTTAATTTTGGAAAGAATATTTAATAAGTGCCAAGACAATATGTTACAATGTCTGCAGATTTGATAGAGCATATAACATCAAATTTGTATTATTTAAGAATTGAGGTTGAAATAATTAAGTATAAAGCATTTATACGTATACTATTTGAATTTTTAAAATCGCCACTTGTTACAAATACGGAATTCATATGAAAACTAATGATGAACTTAAAGTTTAGATTTTAAAAAAGTAATTTATTAATTTTTCATGATTCCATATTCTAAAAATTCTTATGAACTATTTAGGATGTAAGTATAACAACATTTTATTGGGATTAGTTTCTAATATTTTTATTCAAACTATATTACTCAATATTATTTTATTAATTTAATGTGTGAGTACAGTATAGGGAAGTTAAATCCATGAACATTTATTATTTAATTCACGTTAGTATATAGTGCGTAAGTATAAGAGCATTTAATATTATAGATATTCAAAATAAGTTGATCAAGTCCACGAAGGTTTACTATCTAGCTTTATTTTTATATTATAACTACGTATAAGGAACATTCAAAATAAGATATTCAATTATTGAATACAGTATTTACTATTTAATTGAGATCGTAAGTACTCAAATAAGGCATTCAGACTTATATAAATATTTATTATTTTGTTCACATTCAAATTCAAGAGTCAAAGAATAACTAATATGAAAATATAATCTAATAGAGGATTTAAAGAAAATCGAAATATGAAAAATATACATGTCACAATGAAGATAACACGAGCGAAGTATAATGCCAAACATAGATCTAACATAACAATTTAAGGATGGACAAGTATAGGTAAAGATATTGACGATTCCAAGAAAGGATTTCAACTTACAGCCCACTGGGTTGAATGTACGATTGAATTCTATTTGGTAGAATAATATTCAAAATTGAAGAATTTGATTCTGTATTTTCTATAACTGACCGAATGATATATCATGGTAATTATATAAGAACAAACACATCATTGTGAACAAAAGGTGTTGGACTAAGAAAAAGACAAATAATAAAGAAATTACATATCATTGTATTTTAGTATTGTTTTTGATAAATTGAAATTTTCATAATACAATATTATTATAGAAAGTTTAGGGTTGATACTTTTTCTACATTCCATAATAAATCGTCGAAATGTTGACTCCTGATCTTAAACTGTCGAGATTTTGATTATTTAGAATTTTGAAATATCGAGATATTGACTTTTCAGGATCTTGAACTTTCATGATCCAGTCACCTTCATGATTATGCATATCAAGATACTTTCTTTTCATATTTGAATTGTGAGCGCAGTAAAGAATCTTCTATGTATTCGGGTCGGTATGAGCTCTAACTGAATGTACGTGAGAGAGGGAAAGAAACGTATCCGGGTCGAGTCCGAATCTATTTGGCACGGTTTCGGATCCAAAACTTGGATTTCAGATTGGATACGGATATTTAAAATATACATCCTATCCGATCCGTGCAGAACACTTGGGCAAAATAACGATTAAAAAGATTTCCTAAACCAAAAATTTCACAAGAAATCTTTTCTATTAATATGAAGAGAGCGGTTTTCTGGACAAAATTCTGAGTTAGGAGCGTTTTTTTAAAAAAATTTTACAGTCGCTTATATTTTCACACTACACTTTATTGGTAGCACTGGAGATGAATTCTCTAAATTCTGGATTTAGAAAGCGAATTTTTTTCTAGTACAGTGTAATATTTAATTCAAAATCAAATTAATTAATAAAAATTTTATCGAACTAAAACAATTTTATTAATTAGCCAGAATAAAATGTTTGGCATACTATACTAAATATATTCATAATTTGTACATATACATTTACTTCGAATATCTATAATATATCCAATATATGAATCATAATTATAACAATCAAATTTAACTACATTGCAATATAAACATGATTTTCGAATTCAAAAATCTTCTCTATTTTTTCTAAGCAAATTATTAATTGTATCCAAGATAGTGTTATCAATATCATTTTTACAAAGCTCTAAAGATGTTAGAGTAGTATTCTTATAAAGAGCCTTAGATAATTCTTTTCCTACTTCAGAATCAAGTTGATTGTCACCGAGATTAAGTGAGATTAAAGTGGTGTTTATATGAAGCGCCTCTGCTAGTACTTTCCCCCCTTCAGTGCCAAGTCGATTTTTACTAAGATTCAAGTAAGTTAAGGTAGTGTTCTTACAAAGGACCTCTGCGAATACTTTTCCTACTTCGGAACCAAGATGATTTTCACTAATATTCAAAGAGGTTAAAATTCTGTTTTGATAAAGAGCCTCTGCTAGTGCTTTTCCACCTTCCGAAAAAAGTTGATTATCCATAATATTTAAATAGATAAGAGTAGTGTTCACACAAATAGCTGCTGCTATTGCTTTTCCCACTTCGGAATCAAGCTTGTTACCCCAAATATATAGGTGGGTTAAAGTGGTATTATTATGAAGGGCTTCTGCGAGTACTTTTCCTCCTTCGGTACCCAGTTCGTTATGTGAAAGTGTTAAGGAAGTCAAAGTGCATTCTTCAAAAATTTTGGATAACAATAAACTTACTATTTCACAATGAATACTTAAATCTTTAAGTTTCTTACTTGTTCGTAGAAACATTTTTGTTAAGAAATATCGAATTTTTTTAGCAGCATTTAACTGTAAATAATAATTAAAAGATTTGGAATTATGTTCAAACCATTTCATAATTCCGTTATCTGAATCAACCTTAATAACCATTGTATAAGCAGTATAATCAAATAATGTTTTTGAATTATTTGGAAAGGTTAGGTTGCACTTGAATGGCATTAAGTTTTGTAATAATGTTTGCTCTTCTGTGCTTAACATTAATAAGCATGTTCTTACAAGTTTTTTACTTCTAAACAAGTTCACTTCTCTCCACAATAATCGTACACCAATTCTGCACCATTGACGGTTAACAAGAAGGCATGAAAATAAATTCCAACTCTTAAGGTAGGTGAATATTTCGAAAAGACATTCATTTGGTAAGATTATCATTATAAAAGAAATTTTCAGCTTATTTATATAATGGTTTATTAAGTTTTTAATAGAATGTGTCTTCTAAAAATCGAACAAAAATAAGAGTACGGTAGATGGTTTTTTTTTTATGCACGGACAAGTCGATCTTATTACTGACAATCATTGAACGGAATTTTTATTGGAAAATTTTCTCAATGCTTATTTTTACACAGGATCGCCCGCAGAATTTCATACTCGTGTAACTGGAAAAATTATTCTTTTATGGTTTAGGGTTAAACGTTAATGTTTAGATCAGGTTTTGGAAATACGTAACTAGTAAATTATGTAGGTACGTACGTACATACCTGATACGTAGTAAAATTCCTTATAAAACCTTATGCAAAAATAAAACTTTGTTAATTTGAATTTGGTTAATGTTCTCAAAATAACATGTGCCTATAAACTTGATTAGCTCATTAAAAAAAAAGCGACAAATTATAATAATCCCGTGATCTTAAATAGTATCGGGGAACTAAAATGAAATTTACTATTAGAACTTTACGTCTCAATGAAAATGTTGGTGGTGAATTTTTTTAAAATCTAGAGTTAGGATTATTAACAAAGACAAAAAAAACAAAGGTCCTTAGGTCTCACTTTAATTTGATTTCATTATAGTGAACAAACGTGAGTTTTACCTGAATTGATATGAAAATTGATGAGTAAGGCGAGAAATAAATTCGAATGACTTAAATACATTAGTTAATACTGTATATGCTAATCAAGTTAACGTGAATGAATAGGGAATTATCCGATACCCTACTATGATCAGGAATATCAACTAACTATATAGTATTAGCAATGGTAAATCTTTATGAACATGAATAGTTTTTATTTTAAATGCATTTATTAGCAGATGGTCTTTGTATTCACTATTAACAATAACACGAGTAAAATTATAATATTTGTTGTGCCTCAGATTAACACTTGCGTCAGATGTCAATGCATAACCAGAATTAAAATATCAGCCTAACCTTTAGCCTAATTCTGACCCTAGCTCTTATACCTACTACAGTACTGTACTACTATGCTAACACAAATAAATAAATAAGAATTATTGTGTAATTGTAAACATTCATGAATGTTTAATGGCTTATTAAAAATTTAATTGGAAACAATTGCCAAGGCATTTATCGCATTTAATAAAATTTATTGTTGCATCAATAATAAGCAGAATGAATTTTACAACAATAAAGTTATTCATTTATATATATTGAGGTTTTATTATCACCCACTAATCCTACACATTCTGTTTTGCTCACATAATCAAGACCTAAATATGTATTGGGCGTCCAATTTTGGTTTGATAGTATAACGTCTATTATATTCGTAAATTTATATTAATAATTCTAATCATCTTAATGAATAATAATTTTAGAGTAAAATTAAGATATGAATATACGTACTATCATGAACTATATATCTAGGTTTTGTATATGCCACTTCGTGTACTATCGCAAATTTTATGTCTGCAAAATCATTTTCATTCATTCCTAAACGTGCTTGAAGGCGCAACTTGGTCGCTGAAAAAAGCTCACCCTATTTATACAAATATAAAAAAAATTCAGAATATAATGTAAATTACATGAAAAACGCATATATAATTGGAGACACTAACAGCTTTAATAACAAATTTGATTGGGATTCCGTGTGTGTATGTAGGATTCTTGGTGAAATGATATACTTGGACAACTTTATCATTAAGATTTTTCTCAATTTCCTCTTGAGATATTTCCTAAATGCAAAGTAATTTATCTTAAAAAGGGAATAAAAGGATCCAAAAGCTATAAAAAATATGAAAAAAAACCAACCTCTGCATATAATGTCGCATGTGCCGGTATTCTATCTATTAGACATTTACCATTATATTCTTTTAAAACCTTGCAATTCGTAATTTCCAATAATCTAATTCTATTGGTGGGTCCTGGCAGTGAAAGTTTTCGTAAAATGTCTTCTAAAAAATCATCAACTATAACATTCTTTGGAAGAAGAATATTAATCGCTTCCTTTAAATAAATAAATAAATAAATAATTAATTAATTAATTAAATTAGCTAGTTAATACATTAATTAAAATATTTACCAATTCCTTTAAAGTCGTTCCTAGCCAGTACACTTTAAAGTGCATCATATTTTCTAATTCGACAATGCTAAAATCCAATATCTCATAATATATAAGATTCGCCGTGGTAGGTAGAGATTGATATCTTGCTGGAAGCATCGACTTTAATTTTAGATAAGTTTTTCTTTGGATGATAGTTCTAGGTGTGCCGAATGTTATATGTGCTGACGTAAAACGTAATTTCAAAGGATCTGTATTTAAATATGCAGCAACGTGGCTAGCAACCTATATATGAGGAAGTACGTTATTTTAAATAATTACTGTGATAATTATCTTATAAAATCGTAAAATTATTTAAACATACAACATCATAGGAATAATCCTTGTCTAGGGCTAACTTAAATTCGGATTTTTGTTTTTCATCTTTAAATTTTGGCGAGAATTGAACGATGATACGCGTGGATAATGACTTATAGAATGTAGGAATATCACAAGCACTACCTGTCCGATTTCTAAAAGAAAATATTTTCTTAAGCAATAATGAATTAATAAACCAATAAGCAAGACTAGATTAATAATTAATTCACATTTCTATGAATTCCTTTTGAAAACAAATTATATCACCATCTTGTAGATTATTTGTTACTGCAACCATGCTTGTTCTTGTTTCCTATTTTTTTTTAACAAAAGTGTCGTAAACAAGAATGAATTCACACCCAAATACAATAATATAAATAGCCTTACTTTGTATACTCGTAAAGGTGTATGTGGTGGAAATTCTTTTTTCTCGCATAGAATTG